AATAATAAAGAATAATAATATTTATTAAAATTCAATAGAAAAATAAAATTATTTATCCACTGAAATATTTATTTTTAATGTAGTAATATGTTGTAAGTTAAAAAAATATTATAATATGAGACAGATAATTTTCATACTAAATATATATAATATATATATTTTTGTAAAAGGTATAAAAATTCCAACTACATTTTCTCATTAATTTTAGATTTTAAGAAAAAATTAGCAAGCACCCGTGTAATACACGGGTGTTGTACTAGTATTATCAATATAATTAAATAATATTAACAAATTATTTTTACACATCACATCAACTTTAATTCACTATTCATTCACTCACATAACTCTAACTAACTATCACTTCCAATCATTTTTATTCATTCACTCACATAACTCTCACTAACTATCACTTCCAATCATTTTTAAAAAAACAAACCAAATAAAAATTAGTTCAATCCATAAACAATCACCCCATAAGAACTCATTCCATCCCTTAAATAAGCTATTATCAATGGTTGTGATTGAATTTAAGAGATTAGAATAATTTGATTAAAATGCTATAAATTATGGATATGGAATTTTTGTCTAATTAATAAGCAGACGGTTAGGGTAAGTTGTTTAATAGGGAAAAGAATCAATTATGCTACTATAATTAAATATTACTATCCTTTATATCAGAGCTTTTTAGGTCACTGACTAGTGCATACCCCGTGCGATGCACGTGATACATATAATAAATCAATTATTTCTATAGGACTTGTACGTCTAGACAAAAAAATAATAGGCTTGGATCATCCATATTTCACATCTTTTAATAAGTGGCGTTTATTTAAGCCAAAATATTAACATGTTAATTAATATATAATTCCACTAACACGTCATACTATATTTATTTGATTTTAGCATATTTATTCATTGATATAAGAAAAAATAAAAAAATTATTTATTCTTGTTTACCATATAATACTCAATTATTATTTTATTATAAAAATTATAGTCATATAATGTCATTATTATTATTTATATAAGTTATAGAAGTGGTTTTCTTTATGTAATGAAATTAAAAATAAAATTTTGAGTATAAATGTTTACAAAATACACACACATGTTTTTTAGAATTCAATTTTCTCATAATAATTCTTTTTTTAAAAAAAATAATAATTTAGCAATTGCCAAAAAAATAAATCCCTTACATAATCAAGAGATTTTTTTTTTTAAATTTTCATCCTAAGGCTTTATAGTTTATTTAACATAATATGCAATAAAAAATATTTTACGATAAGTTCATTTTTGAAACATAACAAAAAAAAGTGAAAAAACACTATCATAGTTGACAATAATATACAAATAAATAACATGTCAAAATTTTAAAGAATAACTAATATAATTTTATTATCTAACCATCAATAAAATCATTTAATGATGTGATCATTATCTTTTAACTGATATATAATATTATTTTTTTTAAAAAAAATATTAGTTTTATATAATTAAATAAAGGTTAAAAAATATTACTCGACAAATATTAATTATAATGGATATCAGTAAAATTATTGCAAAAATTATTTAAGGAA